TGCTCGTTGAATAAAATTGAGGTTCTATTAGCATTTTGGTCGTTGCCAAAAAATAAAGCAATAACTGAAACCTTTTCAGCAGTGGTGTAAGACATTTTTAAACAAATAACAATACACGACCCGTTTAAACAAAACAATCGAACGATGTACTAATGAAAACTGGAGGAAGAGGAGTGGGTATTGATTTTAAAAAAAGGATTCTATTCAACAAAAAACTGATAAGAAGAACGGCTCGATTTTTTTTTATTTAGGCATACAAGTTACCGACTGGTCTGTCTAAAGCCAAGTCGAACAATTATTGTGATCTATTAACAAATTCATTTACAGCTATATTTTGCGGACCAAGCGCAGGCAAATGTTCTAAGTGTCATCTTTGGTCCCAGTGTACTTGAATTTGAAAATATTCCAGTGTCTTTATGCCAACCTGAATATGATATGCTGAAGAGGGTATTAAAACGAGTTGAGAAAGTTGAGTATTTTCCATATAGTAGTAATGATGAGATTATGGATGTATCTGTCATATATATTCGCATACCGAAACAATTGATATGTGATAATTAGCATATGATTGTTTTATTCAAACAAGATGAACTTAAACTTCATCGCCCCTATCATAATCATACAGTTGTAGATTTTACTTTTGATAAATTTAAAAAAATTTATGCGGAATATATTGTAATTGTGTGTAATTTTCGGATTTATTTTCGAAAAGAACATTATTCCTCAGCATCACTGCATCACATACAATTTTTGATTGTCGACATCAAGTTGCATTCTCTCTGCTGGAAAATATTCACCGTTGAGAAGTATGTGTATATCTGATACATTGCCAGCATAAATTTCTCGTTGCCGGTTTCAGTAAAAGGAATTGAGCGAGGGTGAAGTTATAACTCTAAGTAAAGCTCTTTAACAATCAAATAATTATATTGATGGTGAGAAATATATAAAACGATATGGAATATGTTCTAATATTATAAATATTTCGTAAAATTTCATAGGTTAGAAATAAGGACAACGGTAAACATTTTCACCCTGAATGTTCATAAGATATGATTACTCTGGACGTCATACCAGTGTATTTTCTATTTCAAATTGGACGTTCTAGATTGAGGTTTGGTCAGTGATAGACATAAAACTGACAGCTATTTTCAAAGTGGTAGTTATTCATTTCCCTATCAGTTACACCAAATTTTCTGATTGATTTGGCCGTTACTTGATGAAGATCCATAGTAATTTAAAAAAATACACCTCACGATTTGATCTTCACAAACTTCATTTTGAAAAATATATCACAACATGTTTCGCTAGCACGGTAGCTTTTTCAAGTGATTTATTACACTGAATACACATGTATAACATTCATCCACTCACCACTTATGCGTCGCTGTTCCGACTCTACCTCCTCTTTTGCCCTGAAAAAAAACACATTATCTTCTACAATCATACCATAACAAACTGATTCAGATGAAGTTAACATATCATCCCTAGTTTAACGTAAAATTGAACAGGCAATGGAAGGTTGCTTAGTTGATCATCTTCTTCTTAGTTAAAGGGTCATTCCTTGATACATACTCTCAGTCTGTCAATTTTCAGTCATCATATCTCTTCTGAAATTACAAAGTCTTGCTCTTGATTCGATGAATTCCACTTTTCAAAATATGTTTGCAACAACCCCTCCATTCTCCATTTCAAAATATTGAAACTCAGTTGTCTGCTTATCTATTTTATTCGTATGTTCCTCACAGAAACTGCATTGACTTTTATTATTAGAAATATTTCAAGCATCCTTTTAATTGTTTTTGTGAATATGAAAAATGCACCTTATGATTCAGATTTCCAATCAAAGCTGACCTGAAACTGGAGTTTGATCTTCCTCTTGAAGATGATCACTTCGTGATCGAAACACGTGTCGTGGTGTTGAAATAACGGTTTGATGTTGGGAAAAAACTCCAGTAATATTCATTACTACACCAAAGATTATTGCACCAAAGTTTCCAAACAGTGCTGTGTATAGCTGTGACCATAGTCACAGCTCATTTTCTATGCCCACCGCCTTTCAAATATCTTTTTTGTTAATCCTCTTTCTGCATGATACTTATAGATACAGCAACGAATTTCTCAACTGCATTCGAAATGGTTCGTCAATAATAAAAGCAGTTTCATAGATCGTGTTAGCTGCATTGTTTCTATAACTAAATATAGAACAAAATTTGTAACGAATAAATTCCAAACAGAAACTAATTAATACAGTTCATTGCATGATTTTCACTATGAAAGGCTTTACAGAAACCGCGACACGTGTTTTGCTATTGTATTCCTATTCCTCAAGCATTACGCTTGAGAAAGCTATTGTATAACGAAATACGTGTCGCGGTTTTTGTAAAACCATTTATAGTGAAAATCATAGAATAATCTATATTAATTAGTTTTAATATGGATTTTCATCAAGTATAGGCCAGTTCTATTCAATCAATCACAAACTACTTCCACTAGTTCCGTTATACTATATACGTAATTCCACAAATGAGATGCTGAAGATTGAAGTATTATTGTGATTGCCTTTACATTTGCGTTTATTCTCATGGTATGCTGTATTGGTGCCCACTATCATAATTTCTATTATATATAGATGAAACCAATTGAAAGGAGTACTTACATCGGTGTGTATGTAGCCATTTTTCTTAGTATTTTAGTATTCCGTGAAATCGAACGACTGACAGTAAAATTGATAGTGGTCTGATTGTGTTTTGCACAAGGCTTCCGAATATATTATTAATTTCTCTCTACCATGATTTTTTCCACACTGGAAGTGTTTACTCCCACCTGAAACATAAATATCTGTTGAAAGTTAAAAATCAAAATCTCTCCTACAATTATATTTTGCTATAGAACTATTCACTATGCCCTCTTTATATTTTTATGGTTTCATCAAATTTTCAGAGTTTCTTCCATTAACTTGCAGCCAAACACGCTGTCAAAGTCAGTTTTCGGCCTCCATCTCACAACATCTACGTCAATATGACCTTGAAAGGGTCTTCAGAGGGCCGCCTGGTACATAGATGCCATGCTTTGAAAATTGACCTTGGAGAACTTTCAGAAAATTCATTATCGTAAAAAGTTTTAAAAATTTTAAAAAATGTTCGTGAATTTGTGACCTTGAAAAAAAATTTGTAAACACGGAATAACATATGAGAAGAAAATAGCCTTAGCTGCTTGACTTCGACATTGAATCGCCGCCAGAATGTCGAAAAAACCACTGCGTGTGGTCCTCGTTCAGACTGAACGTTTTCATGCAACCGTCCACTCACCGCGTTATTCGTGTTAAAAATGCCAGCCAGTGGAATCATGACCTGAGATTCAAGTTGCTCAAACTGAAACTGCACACATACATTCAAGGCCATAAGCCATGCTACTTGTAGTAAAGGGAGGTCCAGAACCACCGGCAATCTCCAACGACATGACGTACTTGCTACCCAGATGTCGTAGAGGTTTTCAAGGTCAAGTCATAGGTAAAAGGCGTTTCACGAACGCCAAAATTGTATGGTGTCAGGCGCGACTCGAGATGGATAGTCCAAAAGGGGTTTCAAGGTCAAAGTCGGTGTGGGGCAGTGGCGGAGGAAAGATTTGAACCGGTACTAGCACCCTACTAACACCACTTTCAAACGGCGTTATACGAAGATTCGTACAACCATACTGATGTCGTTATTTGATTTCAATGGATATAAGGAAATGTATTTTTGAAATCCTGATATCTGATCACGAATATCAATAAACTATATTGTCCTTAGAGGGTAGAATGATGTCAAATTTCAAGACAATGTCGTTAATATCAATGATCTTTTGTAAGGATATCAAAATTCACTTCTCAGAATTTGAAAAAAGATTTTCTGATATACGGAAAGTGCTCTGCTTTTAAGCTGGCAAGTATGCAAATATTCTTAATCACATTTTAGACCTTTTATGGGCATAACCTTGCTAAAATTGTATATTTATGGTGTCTCTGAAATCTTGAACAACTATAAGGTAAATGAATAACTAGATAAAACTATAGTCACATTATTGAAATTGAAAACAATTGTAGAAATAACTGGTGCAACGCCTTGATGTGGGTATTAATGTTGTAGGCATGAAGTTTTACATTATTTGGATAGCTTGGATCGTTTCGCTTCAGAATAACAAGTAGCGGTTTCGAAGGTTTTGATTTACATTTTATATTTTCGCATCTAGCCTATTTTCAGCATTGTTGTGCAGTATATTATCTGCTTCTGAATTTGGTTCTGTTTCAACAGTTCTTTGTTTTCGTTTGCTTTCGTCGAATGTGTTATTTTTCAGGACATAACCTACTTTGAATTTATGGCTCAGTTAGTTCCAAAGCTATTTGTTGTGAGAAAGAAGGCCTGATTTTCATTTCATTTTCATTTCCGATGTGAATTATTCAAAAACTGACTCCAAAAATATGCAACATTGAAACAAATACCACAATTTGCCAAAGTTTTGTATTCCTAGCGACAACTTGTGAACATTTTATCAACACAGTCCTCGCCGCATTCATTCTGATTTCTAGGAATTTGTTTATGTTCATCTATTTTGTCATCAAAGTGCAAACTGGTTAACAATGTTTTTATTTTGTTTTGGTACAAATGCCACTATGGTGCCAACTTTCTGAAAACCAAAATAGCTTGATATGTATAATTATGTTTTTGAATTCGAGTGGAATTTGGGGTTTACTTTTTGACCATAGACAAATGTGAATCAGTTGTGTTAGTTCAGATTGTAGGAAATATATTAAAGAATGAAGTAATACAAATCATGAAATTATGAAACAACAACAAAAATTAATTGGCGCTCCGGGGCGACTTCATTGATTCCAGTGGCGCATTTGTTTTTTTCAGCTGAAGGAAAACCCAGAAAAACCTGCAGCACCACATCATCTGAAGATCTTAATCTACCAACGTCCTATCTTTCATAAAACGAAATGTAGGATGTCTCTAGAGGCTCCAATAAATTCAAGACATCGCCAGAACACTTAGTGACACGACTATCGTCAAACTTAAACCAGTCCATTTCGTCTTTGACCAATGCGTAGTAATGATCAGATTCAACGCCAGAACGACAGTGAACAATGACTGCATGAAGATTATGATAATGGTCTGCTAGATTGAAGTGTTCATGATTATGTCCACTATTTCAGAATGGTGCAGAAAATATTTTTACTACGGCCACAGGCCGATTGCTTTGTGCGTTAGGTCCATCTAGCTGAGTGCCGATGTAAATTCCAAAATTATGAGTACAAAATGTTTGCATCAACAATTGCAAAAAAGTTTGGTGCCATACTAGGCAGGCTTGGAAGAAATATATTGGTGAAATTGAACTCGTCGTCTCCTTGAATCTTTCAATTTTCCACAAATATTGACATTTTCGCCAAGAGTGTATGACTTTTGGCAATCATTCATGAGTTCCTCGAAAATCTCTCGGATTTTTGCTGAACGATCTATAAGTTCTCTCTCTTCTCTTTGCCTATCATAAAATAATATGCAATGCTTTATGAAATGAAACCCTTTCAAACTCATTACGATTTTCTATTATATATAAACTTTGTCGACCCAAAAAATTCAATTCACAATAGAACGAGAAACCCAAATAACTCCACTGTTTTCGGAAGTTCTTGTGAATAGACGTGAAGTTGATACATTGGGCCACATAGTGTTTAAGAAACCAATACACACACAGGTAACTGAACAAAAACTCTCAGGGAGAGAATTCCAAAGTAACCTCAGCTAGGCTAGTCAAGGGAAAAGCTTTCCTTCGCTATGTTGGAACTGTTATGTTACAGACCGAATTGGAAAATCCAATATTTAGGTCAACAAAACCATGAAAGAAAGTCTAGGCTCAGCTGAAGACTCCAGAGAACCTTTACCAACATCCAAAATATACCGGATTCCTTGTAGATGCGGGTCAGCCAACATGGGAATCACGAAAAGGAGTGTAGGTATCCGTATCTCTGAACACAAGAGAAATTGTCAGCTCGGACAAACCGACAAATCAGCTGTAGCCGAACATGCTCTAAAAAAAGAAGACACTCACAAAAACACAAATAATTGAAATAGAAAAGAAGAGGCAATGAACAATAGTAACATCTGGCTACCTATTCTTAATGGAACACAAACACGGTCAGATTCTACAACTAAAAGAAACCAAGCCACGCTCACCAATAATAATATAAAACCAATAGTATACAAAATAACAATTTTTCAAAATCACTGCACGCTGTTACAATGGACTGACCAACTTAGGAAGGTGTTTGGACGGAATGGGAATATCAGGGAAGTTTTTAGGTATTCAGACAAAGGAGAGGATAGGGTATCATTGAAGGGGATGAAATAAAATCTCTCCTCTTGAATGGGAGCCATAAGATGAATTTTATAATAATATAATATAATCTGTTCGAGTCTTGGAAGGTTGGATCATTATGAAAATTTAAATCAGTTTCTTCAAGAGCAACTCCTTGATATCAGACCACTCTAAAAAACTATTGCTTTTTTGCAGACTAGATCTTGAATCATGAAAAGCATGTTTTGGAATTCCTGACAATACAAAAATCTCAATGAAAGAATTCAAGACGTCTACGGCTGAAAATACGACAAATCTTCTAAACTGGTTGGCAGAAAACTCTATAGAACATATTATTGAAATTGTGCTGCGTAAACATTCTGGTAATATCGCTGAAGCATTTCACCTCATTTTTGAAGGTTGAAAGGCTACTAGCTAGGTTCAAAAGTATAGTAGCTAACAATATAAAATTTCTTCTAGACAAGATGTTTCAAAATTTATTCATGAAGCACCGAAATATTCTATCAGTGAACAAAGTTGCAACAATATCTGGTTGTATCTCCTAGAAGATAGCCACAATAAACCCTTATGGGTTGCGGTGGAGGGTCGAATAGACCCACTCACTTTAGACCTACCTACTCCTAGAAGATAAAAAGTCAGTTCTCGTTATAGTACGTACCAGATACAAAAATCGTTAAAAACAAAGACGAAATGAATGGTTTGAAGTTGATAGTAGACATGTATTTACATCTGGGTTGTAAATCATAAAAAGACTTTCTCTGACGTGCAGATGAAGTCGTTGTATTCTGTACAGCCAATGAGAAAAAATATGCAAAAATATCCAAAATATTTAGATTTCAGTGATCCACAGGTCTTTGCCTGCGTCGAACATCGACAACTCTTCTGGTAAATGATGGAGACAGTATAACAACATTGGAGCGTCCTGGTGGAAAATGAGTACATTGGTTATTGAAAGATATTTGGCGGACAGTATATCTTCAAAAAATAAACTATCTAACTTTCTAGCATGCACACCTTTTGGATCTGGCATTAACTTAAATAAGCCTGATGCCCAGACAATGAAACATAAACAAAAAAAGTTATGTTTTTACCACCAGTTTTCCTCAGAATTGTCAGATTTCCAAAAACCAGCCAAATTTTGTGTTTGTATGTTGGTATTGAAAATCGGTAGGTTATTTTTTTAACAAGATGATCCTTTATCAGATTATTACTTGATAATATATAATATAGATACCCAATTTTACTGCATTAACGGTGATAATTTCAACATTCTCAATATCATTCAAATTGTACCAGCAAGAAAAAATAAAATGAGCTTCAAATTTGTTCATTCCTTCAGTATTTACTTAGCATTGATTATAATTATATCTTATAGAATCATTGCCAACTGCAGTTTGAGCACTTTCATGTCTTCCTACTTGTTGGGGATTCACGAGAGGATTTATGAAATATGGCACGCTACTTCCTGATTCACTTTTCCAAGTATTTCATTCAAACTTCAAATTTTCCAACAGCTGTAGTATTTTCATTTTTGCTTTTATGTTCTTGTAACAATAATTTTTTCTTAATATAAAAGGAAAGTCCCGATATTATAAGGGTAGTCACTATAATATAATATCAATCAAATGCAACCAACGTTGTTTTTTTATGAAAGTAATATAAACTACTCAAAATGAATCTAGAGACATGTAATACCCAAACACGTCAGTCATTGTTGAATAACATGATTTTTTCTGCATCTGTAAACATTACATTGGCCCACTGTTCTAAATTCCAATTACGATGCTCTTGACAAAAGTTTCTACGATTTCCTCGATGAGCTGGAGTTAATCTAGGGGATCTAGCAGGTCGTCTTGCATGGAGTTGTACTTCGTGAAGTCTGTTTCGTATCGTTTGGTTCGAAATTCGCGTTCCCGTAGCTTCTATATGGCGCTTTTGCAGTGTTCTAGCAGAATCGGTGTGACCCCTTTGCCCAAAATCGTAACAAATGATCTTCTCTGTTGGTTGTTGCCCTTTGTCGATTGGGATAAGGGGCTCTTTCTACTTGGAATCGCTACCGTACATTTGATAGCGATTCCAAGCCCTGGAAACCGCAGAATGACTCACATTAAGCATTTGGGCTACACGACTTCGATCAATGCCACTGCTCTAGCAACTTGAAATTCGTTGAGGTACACCCTAAGTATCCTCCTTCCACCCAATACATCAACATTCATTGTTTAAATTTTAAAATTTAATACCTATCACGAACTAAAGTAAAGTGAAACTAAATACAGAATTTTTCATATTAATAATTTTGTAGCTAAAAGTAGAAAAAGAAGTAAAAAAGTAAAAAAGTAAACAACAACCGAATGGAACATGATAAGAATTAGTAAGTATGGAACCAGACGTTTTTATCATGAAATAATACATATTTTTCACTTATTGGATTTTAAGGATGTCTATCTATAAGTATTCATTTTGAGTAGTTGAGAACAGTCTCTTTTTGAAGCTTATAAGATGAAGTTTTGATTTATTCATTTCCTGATCGTACCAGCAATACAAGACAAACTGAATCGCAAATTTTCAATTTTCTTGGAAGCCGAAGTCCATTTTTCAGATACTGGCATAGTTTCGAGAAAGTTCTTATCCATGTACATGGATCATCATTCTCGTTGTCAGAAAGATTTATCTTAGCTGGCTCATTAGAATTTTGAGTCGAAAATTATAGCCATTTTGATGTCAGATCGTCAAGTTCATCTTTTCTTGTCAGTAATTTTGTTTCTGTATCTTTGGAATTGTTTTCTGGGTTCTCCACTGCTTTCATCATAATTGATTTCCAGAGTCTGCTTTTCAGACTGCGCCATGTTGTAATGAAATTGTTCAGTAGAAAAATAATTAATAACTATTTATTCTACTTTCTCATTAAAAACAACCGAAATATTTTTTTTCTATGGAGAAATGTGTCAAGTTGTACAGTTTCCTACAAATGTCCTATAACTCACAAGTAAATGAATTCAGACTTCTGATATAATATAGGTTATTGAACCGCTACAAGTATATCATTTTTCGAGTAATGAAAGCTACAGAAAACAATAAATTTCTCTAGCGGCGGTTGATGTCAAAGCTTGGTTTTGCAACCTACCCTGTAGGACCCTCAGTTACCTTGGATGAATAGGGTTTGAGTTTTCTGGCAATCTCATGAAAAAGCATATTCTTGCCTATACTCAGGTTTTCTTAAGGACAGTTGAGTCCAAAAATATATTCGTTTTTCAGCCTAACGTCAACTGATGATTCTGACGGCACGTTAAAACTGAATTCATGGTGTTGGATCACCAATGCTATTATTTATGAAATAGTTATTTTATGGATGTTCAGATCAGTCCAAACGACAATTGGATCTCCGCAAGATATTTTTTGGAGATAAGTTCACTATTCACTATCCAGAATGGATATCAACTAGATATCAATCAGACTATCTTTTATTCACCGGATATAATGTACTTAAATAGCTTCCCCTATCGTCCTTTGGATCACGATTGAAAAATGTCTCTTACAAATTCCATTGAGGTGTCCGAAGGTTTATCAAAGGGAGCTAGCAGGTTGATAGTAAAGTGCTAATCATTACAACTTGATAAAACTATTATTCAGACCCATTACGACCTTATAATCTCATACAATTTTCAAAATCGATTAGATATTTTGGTAGTCATTGATTTATAACTCACTTCGTTGTTTACTTTCACTTACACTAAGAATTTCATTTTTTTTTCAAGAAACTGGGGCGAGTGATTCGTCCAAAAAAATTGCCCCGTTAGATGAAGTCAAGAGGTTTATAACTCAATGCATGTGTGTGGTTGGAGTCAAAGAAGACAAAGCTGAAATATTTGCTGATTCCCTTGTCCAAGCAGATTACAGAGGAATAAATAGTCATGGTGTTAATAGGTTGGGTAAGTACGAAAATACTCTTCTATACACTGAAATCGCACAAGTTTCAAAAGTAATGAGTTGAAAGCCTCATGTTTTTGAATGCAATTTTCAATAGTGCTACAACCCTGCTACAAACCAATTTGGAAATGTTATCTTCAGTGTAGCAAAAAATGCCACTAAAAGTAATAACATTTCTCAACATTTAAGAAATAACTTTTTTTCGAATAAATAATTTATTGTGAGGATGATACGGAGAATTATAAATATCTTTTTTTGTCAATTTTTAATGGTATGCTGTATTGGTGCCNAAGTGCCGCCAAACTCAAGTGTGCACAATGTCGTTTACTTCGACTGAACTTGATTGATTTTCACAAAGGTAAATCAGCAAATATCAGATTGCCTCCATTGCGTGTTAAATGCAGTGTGAAACCTGACATATGGAGAAGAAAAAATTATTAGTTATTTTTTTTTTATTTTTGTCTCTGAAACATAAATATCAATATTTATACAATATTCAATTACTGTTTTTGAGAAACAACATTTTGATGAGAATATTGTTATGCTCATTACTTCTTCGAAAACAATTCACAAATTTTTCAATAGAGACTTTCTCACTTATTTTTTATTGTGTCGCATCTTCACCGAATTCAGTAATCAGTCTTCCTGGCAATATTATCAAATAAATCGAATGTATCTACCATCCTCTCCAGAGATTATATATCTATATTTCATTATAAGACTACACAAAAATTTAAGACACTTAAAACGTTTGAAGCTTATGATTTTCTGTTCTTTCTAATAATTTTTCACACTCAGGTCAGTAGAGTAAGAGAATTTAATAAATACGTCGTTCAACAATATAGTATATTGTCATTTTCGTCTACTCTACTACGACTCTACTACATCTCTACTCTTCAAAAATTAAGAATAACCGTCCAGGTTAGAATCAGGTGGTACTTCAGAAACTACTTGGCACCCTCCAATAGTCATTACCTAGTGATTTTGGCAAAAGCAACCTTCAATCCTTGACTTATTACTGTCCTTTCGAAAATATTACAATTGTGAGAGCTGTAAAAATAAAAATCGATATAATTCCATATCAAAAATTTTTTTTTTCAGAACATTACCTAAAAGATATCAAAGACAAACAATGCGATGGTAATGCAGATCCAACAGTAGCTATGGAAGCACCATCAACAGCCGTTGTTTGTGGAAATAATGGATTTGGAGCAGTTGTAGGAAAATTTTGTATGGATTTGGCCATTGAAAAAGCCTCAAAGACAGGCATAGGCATGGTTGTAGCCAATGGTAGGTTTTCACTTTTTTAACATGACATTAGCTCAGTATGCTGCATATTCGTATCATCGCAAGAAGCTTTCGAATACGAGGATTAAAAAAAGTACTATTCTGATCATTTGCATATTGACTTCAATTTAATACCCACCGGTAGACAGCTGTTTCAGCCTGTTGGGCATCGTGATCCTCGATTGAAGACAAAATGTGAACCAAGAAAAGTACTTGATAAAAACAACTGCGTAAACGCAAGCGAGACATATGTGGAACCACCCATGGGAAGGCTACATTGCCATGTACAAATTTTGGTTTAAGAAAATATTTCTTTCATTATAAATCAGTCACCAGACGCTTCTAACATCAAATGATAAAAATTAAATTGACAATTTCAAATTCTACTTGTTTCAAGAATATACTACTACTAATTTTTTTTTCAATTGACTAGGATCAAATCATTTTGGCGTTGGACAGATATATACCGTTCAAGCGATGAACAAAGGATTCATCGGTTTCAGTTTCACAAACACTTCTCCAGTTATGGTGCCGACGAATGCTAAAAAAGTAAGATGAAAGTGAAATTATCAAGCCAGTAAGAGACACATTTTATTACCTTCAGGTAGCGTTAGGAACGAATCCTCTATCTTTAGCAGCTCCGGGAGAAAACTGTGATGGTTTGGTAGTAGATATGTCCACAACAGCAGTATCTTTAGGAAAGGTGAGATTTTTGTTAAATTTGTCTTAACAAATTGAATATAAGATTACTCATAGTAAACTTAACGTAGTAAAACAGTTGCATTACATTTTTTTTTGGTAACGAAGGCGAACCCAGAAAGGTAAGAAGGGCTATCCGAGGTTTTTCTGGCTTTGATTTCGACAAGGGTTTCAATTCATACGCGGAACAAGTTAAATTACACGATTTGATTGCCATTAGCTACATTCTTGATTTAAACGTTTGTTTTGAAACTGATGACGCGGCCGATCGTATTAGTTCATACTTAAAAAACCTTGAAGGTGATGAAAATGAGAATGACGAAGAACAGGACGAAGAAGAAGAAAACGAGTTTGAAGACGAAAGCGATGACGAAGCTGGAAGGAAAAAAACGAAGACGAAAGCAGTGAAGACGAAGAGAAAAAAGAAGACGATAAGAAGAAGAAAGGTGCAATAAACAAGAAGAAAAGAGGGCCATCTACCAGATACCAAGAAGATTGTCAGTACCAGAAAAAGAAGAGGTAGATAAACAAATAGACGAATGGCTAAGAGACGGCATAGTTCAACCAAGTTCATCCGATTTTGCAAGTCCAATAGTAATTATAAGGAAGAAGGACGGACAGGCTAGAATATGTTGCGACTACAGACTGCTAAACAAGCATGTTATTAAGGACCGCTTTCCTTTACCGCTCATAGAGGACGTTCTGGACAAATTGTAAGGAGCTTCAGTATACAGTACAGTACTATAGATTTGCGAAATGGTTTTTTCCATGTATCAGTCGAACCAAGCAGCGTGAAATACACCTCTTTCGTGACGCCTACCGGTCAGTTTGAATTTCTGAAATGTCCGTTTGGATTTTGTAATAGTCCGGTAGTTTTTCAACGTTTTATCAGTTATATCTAGAGGCCATTGACATCAAAGAATATTGCAATTTACTACATGGATGATATATTTATACCCAGTAGAGACGAAGAACAAGGGATAGAAAGATTGAGGTTAGTGTTGGAAATAGCAAAAAATTATGGCTTAGAAATTAAGAAGAAGAAGTGTCAATTTTTGAAAAGAAGAGTGGAGTTTTTTGGATATATTATTGAAGATGTGAAGGTGCAACCTAGCAAAGCTAAGATGATAGCAATACAAACATTCCCAGAACCTAGTACGCCAAAGCAATTACAATCATTCCTAGGTCTGACGGGATATTTCCGAAAATTTATTCCTTCATACGCAATGATAGCTAAACCGGTTAGCGATTTGTTGAGAAAAAATATATCATATATTTTTGAAGCCGACCAGAAACAAGCTTTTGCCAAACTTAAGGAACTGCTGTATAGTGAGCCTGTGTTAAAAATATTTCATAGAGGTTGCGAGACAGAGTTACACACGGACGCGAGTAAGCATGGATATGGTGCTCAATTCGACATTTCAGCGAAGTATTGCAACTTCACCGTTCGAAGTTTTGATGGGAGTGAAGATGAGGAATAAAGAGGATCTAGAAAAGTGGATAGAAAAGTTCAACGAGAACAGAGAAGAGATAAGGAGCCGAAGCAAAGCTCAAATTTTGAAGGTACAGGAGGAAAATCGTATGAGATATAATTTGAAGAGAAAGAAACCCAAATTATATACTAAAGGTGACTTAGTTGCTATAAAGCGAACTCAGTTTGGGAGTGCGCTGAAAGTTCACAAGAAGTTCTAAGCTCCTTATGAAATTGTCAAAGTTAAGCCGAATGAACGATACGATGTTGCAAAAGTTGGAATTCATGATGGCCCTATGAGGACCTCTACTTGTAACGAATATATGAAGCAGTGGATCTAGAATGAATCGGAATCCGAGGCGGATTCATGTCAGGACGGCCGAATGTAGGATAGCGTTTTCTTTATTTTCTAATTAATATTTATTTCTTATAGGCCAGGCGTACTATATTTTTTTTCATTTTTCATTTCACGAAAAAAAAGCGTATCACTATGAACATTTGAGCAATTGTAATATTTTTNCAGACAAAAAAGTAGGTAAAATAAGTCAGTCGGTGGTAAGAGTTGACGGAACGAGGATTAAGACGAATCGACAGCCGGGTCGATATTCTCCGTTTACGTTGTTGTTCAGTGCTGGATGTATTACTGTAATAACTGACTGACGTTTTTATGTGCCGTATGTTCTAATTGTGACAGTGTTTAACCAATTGTTGTTTTCTATCGTTAATATACTTTTATTCTTGTTGCACCTGAGTCCATATTATTATATTCCCTAGACAACGATGAAAATCCTACATGAAGCAATGAACTATGTAAACAAAAAGATATAAATATATTCATTACATTTGAAGTCACTCATAACATTTTCAAATATACATGTTAGATCGAAAATGAATTCAGAACAAGATAATAATGTTGACATTGAACAGTATACAAAAGATTTAATTAGGCAACTTTGTCCTCATATGGAACAAAGTAAAGTGTCTTCTGAAGCAAATCGTCTCAGCAAAAAAGCTTCCAAAATTCTCAAGAAGAAAGAGTCAAGACGAAGAAATACATGTAATTTCAGCTACAATCAACTCCATCGTTTGTAGTTTGAGGACAATTGTTATTTTATAATTTGAAGTCTTGTTATCGTAGTTTTTTGCTATACTTAAAAGAATATAAAATAAATTGATATTGTGTTGTTACTACAATCAATTTAGAACCTATTTCAAAACTTTTTAGCGCATTATTACTTGTATTTCGTAGTTTGAATAATATCAAAAGTGCTTTTTCAGTAACCGATAAGACTACAAAAAAATGAACATTACTACATTTATTAGTATAGTTTGTATGTAGAGTAGGCTAAAAAAAGGTGGAGTTTTTTCAAAGCGGGTTCCAGCGTGATAGAGCTGTTATTCACTGGTATCTCTTTTTCGCATTGTTCACCATCGCTATTGGAATCACTACACAGGAAAAAGTCTGCGTTGTTATCACACTCGTTATTACTATTATTAGATACTTGTCCAAGGATACCACAGTTTAAACAGATAATAAAACTTTTAAGTAATTATAACTGCACCAATACCGAATTTCAACACTCAAATCGCGATCAGTTCTGAACTGAATATTGACAACACGATGGCTCGTATTCTATTCGTTACCGTAACATGGCTTCAAAATTTAATTTTATGACTCTTCAGCCAATCATAAAACTCATTCAGTTGTGCTAATGGGCGAACGACAAACGCCTGCAAAAATTTCCTCTAGGAGGAAGTTGCAAAATGTCTGTCGTATATAATCTATGTCAGTCGTGGTTAGGAAAGTAATTAATTTTCGGCAAGTATTTTCCACATCCTACTCTGAAAGAACGTTGTGAATGTTGAATGTTTCGAATTTCATATTCTAAATATTTGTTATCTCATTAAGTCAGTCAAAAGAATATGGTGTTTCCCTACTCAACTATAGATAGTAATTTCCTTACTCATTTATATTTAGTAATTAGTAAATGACCTAGAAATCTTCCATGATCATTCTGTGCTGAATAACCTCTTATGGAAATCGTATAGCTATATTAAAACAAAATCTCCGTGTATTCGTAGGGTTCAATCACAAATGCTTCCTTATCTCATATCCAGATCGATATAGATCAAAGGCACTGATTAGTTGAATCCCTCCTGTCGGAAAACGCCTTCAAACGAGCACACACAACAATTCCTTGTAATCTTCTTAGAGTAAAACCTTTTCGGTACAGACGAGGAAAATCGCGGAAAAAGACGTCTCGTCTATTTTCTTTCGATGGTTTGCACATGCATCGATACGCGCGCTACGGTTTGACAATTATTCATTAATCTTCTCACGGATTTCGGGATCTGCGTCGGAATGGGATTTTTCACGATTCACAAATGGATTTCGGGTGGTTGTGACAACTGGAGGACGTTTGGAGAAGTTTGCTTTCGGGTAATTTACCGCAATTCCTACCAAGGGCGGACTGAATTTTAAACGGTGTAAAAGAGTTCATTAAGGGTTGGATGGTAGATGAAAACAGATGGACGAATGAAGAGAAACTCCGCTTGTAATATCAAAGAGCTGATTAAACAAATATACGCCCTCAAACTTGACGGAATGGGAAATATTATTATCTTTTTATGAAAAAAAAATTCAGCTACTATTCTGTATCTGTATTTTTAGAGTAGGGAGTGTAGACCCACAGCACTTAGGCCACATGTGACCCATTGTACATCCTCCCGAGGAGTTGTCCTCCTAGGTCATCGTTCATCCTGTCCTTTCCAGGAAGGTGGACAGGTCACTAGGAGACATCTCCTTTATATTGGCAGGTGTAGGCCAAGACTCGCCGAACACACACTCTCTTTGGCAACCTTGTCTCACGGTGGCCTCCGCGAAGATTCTGGAAGGTGCAGCGACATTACTGTCGCTTCTTCAACTTTCTTGGGGTTCCCTCCGTGGAGGTGCACAAGTGAGGGAGCTTTCCTGCAGGGGCAGCTGATTCCTTGCCTTTATTCAAGGCGAAGCTCTTGGCGCCCGCCGCAGGAAGTGCCCTTGCTGTTGGAGGTGGAGTGGGGGAGGAGGGTGGTACACTTATAGTTGCTGCCACTCCAGCATCCTTCGCTCTCCTTCGCGTTTACGCATTTGCCTTTGTATTACATCACGAAGTGATTGCTATGTCCAGCCTCATTCCAAGCGGTAGATTGGGGTGGACATTTCTGTTCATCCCCAGCCACCGCCTTAGATTGAGGTGAGCACTTGAGGTTTTTATTTTTGTTGTTTCTGTTGTTTCATTCATGTGTGTTCCCACGAGTAGCAAGGGAAGAGTTGGTCACCTCTGGCAGAGCACCGCATTACCAGAGGTAGGCTGACAATGAGGTTTCTCCAAGGAGATCGTCCGTAACCGCATATCACCCTGCAGCCATTCTGCTGTCGGCACGATTCCTCACACCTCAGCTTGGTCAGGCTGGTCCACGGTGGCATGTTTTGCAAAGGTTTTTGGGTAGTTTTAATTCCCCTCACCCTACTTATTTCTGCCACTGACCAGGAGTCCGACGAACCCGTCCGTAAGGCCACATTGGCTTTCCGGACAGGGCCTCCAGTCCCCTAGCCGTTCCCCTATCCGCCACCTGGAGACGCGCCCGATAGGTAGCCCAACCCACGGGTTCAACTACTATTGTCAACAAAAATGTTTTGAGTCATACCACAACATGTTAAATGTATTTCATCAGTTCGGACTTCCATTGTCTAATATCATATACATTAATTGATTTGAAATCCCTGAAAGAATCTGTAAAAAATTAAAAAGATTAACCGAAAAAACATCTGTATATCGAGAACCCACTCACACAGGACAGTATATGAACCAGAAATCCAACCACTATCAAACGACTGAGAGACGAATCATTATGACTCTACTAGACCGTGCTTTCGTGCTCTATTACAGAGCACAAAGGAAGGTCTCGAAAATACACTGGGCATCATCAAATATGACCTTC